AAAATTGGAGCCAAACCATAGGATAGACTGGGAAGTCACTGAGGTTCTCCTCAGGATCTGTGGCCTCCCTTAGTTTCTCTTCATTTGGATTCCTTAACAATGTTCCAGATTTGAGTCTTTCCCCTTTCATACCTTCTTCGTCCGATTTCGTTGTAAAGTCCTATCCTTTTGACCTCTTTGAAGACGTTATTTCCTGATTTTTATCGAGAGTTTTCTTAGGTGACCTCGGTCATTTAAGATGTAATTAACTATAGGGGCTTGCCCTTATAGGGAGCTTTTCCGAACCCAGCTTAAAATAAACCCTATTTAATTCTTTGTATTAAATAGGGGAACTTGTCGGCAAATAAAACAGTTTCGCAGACCCAAACGGATGTCATATTTTTCTTAGTTTATTTGATCGAGCCTCACCTTCAAGTCTTGTGTTTATCCCTCGGGGTAGATACAGGATTTGAGGTTGAGTACTCTTTCATTTAAACTATGAAAAATATGAGGTCAGCTTGATTTCATATTTTTCTAAAATTATATATATATGTGTAAATTAAAAAAGTCCTTCCGAAGCGGGCGACGAGATTTCGATTCCGGTGACCGACAGCTTCTTACGGGCGACCCCCAAACATTAAAACTTTTCCCCCCTTTCTTTTCTTTTAAAAAAAGCGCCGACACATGCCCGCCAGTAAGAACTACAATCAAGTAGTCAACAATCCTATCACCAAAGAAGGTTTTTATATATCAGATAGCATTTTCTTCCTCCCTTGTAAAGCGTTGATGCATAGTGAATACCATGAGTACAACATGGAGACCATCTATGGCCAGATCTATGCACTTCACTGTCTCTCTACCAAAAAACTCAGAACCAACTGAAAAATCTAATCCTAAAGAGGGAAAAAATTAAGAGCTCAGCCTCCAATAAAAGCTCTACTAGAGACCACGAAAAATGGAAAATTTGAAGAACCCAAACGCAATGCTGGAATTAGAAGCAAAATTGTAAAGTAGCTATAAGGATGAAATGCAATTAAGAAAAGCAAAATGCTCTGTATGGCCAACGCCAGATGACTCAACCCAACTTCTATTTTTGTTCGGTATGCTACTGTTTGTAAGATATTTTTTTTGTTTTGTTGGTTGTGCTAGTGGTTGCTGTTTTGCTGTGTTGGATATAACTTTGGTTGTGGTGGTTGTTCTAGAGTTTTCTTCTTTATATTAGTCTTTTTAATTATTTGTTTTTTTCAGATAATTGAATAATATTCCTGAATATGTCTTTTAGTTGTTTTTTGGTTTGAGCTATGATGTACTTGATCCATTCTAAGAGTGTTTACAGTTCTCTGAAATCTTAGCTTGGTTTGCTCCTCTATTTTTTTTTATACTATATAAATTTGGATGGAATTATTTTTTTCAACCTTTTTTTTTTAGTTATAACATTTTAATTGTGTTCTATGTCTAATTTCTCACTTTTTCTTCCTAGTTTTGGATATTTTATATATGTGATATTTTTGGATTTGTTTTATTTGTTAGTTAATCAGATGTTCAAAGAATTGGTAGACTTTATTTCTTTCTACCTGATTTTTTCTTTAATTTTGATGGATACTCTGAGTAATAGATTTTGGTTTGGCCGAGCCCTCTTTATGATTGACCTTTTCTTTTCTTTTTTTTTTTCCTGTTGGTTATGGGGCTTTTGGTTGTGTTTTGTTTTGATTTTGTCGGTTTTCTGGTTGGAGGTGCATGTTGCTACTGTAGTTTGGTGAGTTATTGATTGGTGAGCTGTTGTTTTTCTTGATGCTCAACTTCCTCTAAGCTATTTGCTGAGATGTTTTAATTGGTTTATTGGTTCCTGTAAGCATCTTCAGGTTGTTAATATATTGTTTTGGAATGTCTTTATTTCTGGTGCCTGTTCTGGTTGTCTTTTTATTTTATTTTTTTCTCATTATTTTTTTGGTGTAGATGGTTGGTGTGTATTTTGGATTTGATTTATATGTTATTGGGTTGAGTTGTATATACTTTTTTTCAGTAATATAGTTGTGCATTACCCTCATTTTATTTTAAAAAAGGAGTAAAGTGTGATCACCTCTACTAATTTACTATAGTTGTTTTCACAAATTAATTGTTTTTTTCTATAAAATATAACAAGTGAACAGAGTTATTAGAGTCAACAGCTTATAATGCAATTATAACAACACTCATTTACATATAGCACAACTGAAATAGTTATAGGTCAACGTTTCTCCGGATCAAGTGCATGATATGCATGGGCAATCTTAATAGCTTGTGGAAGTACATTTAAAAAATGTTACAAATTTTTAAGAAAATATTAGGGCAAAATATACTTAATATACAGAATATTCTCAAAATACACAAATTAATGGGTATGTGGTAGTTTGTCAAAGGCACAAAAAGAAATTTTCTAGCTTAATATTCCTTAATTGTATATCCTTCACATTTAAGTAAAAAGCTGCAAACAAAATATTTTAAAATTGGGACATTTACACACATACCACCCATTTCGTATTTATTTACATATCTAAACCCAAAAAAAATATTTTTACATTTATACCAACAAAATCTTTCATTTCTCCTAAAGAATATCACTATATTTATTTTTACAAAGTGAAGTACACATTTTCATACATAGATAAGATGTCATATATAGATTTTTTTATATATGACATATATATAGAATATTTGTAAATCTTGCATTAAAATTATTTCGACACATTAGTTTAGTCAAACTGATCATGGAAAATGGACTGATCTCATTTATCATAAATATGGGCATATGTACCTTGGAAGTAATTTTATTAATTCAATGTCAAAAAAGGACATGCACATGCTAAAACCGACATAATTAAGAGTAATCTTATTTTCAGTATACCTATTATGAATATTTGATAAATAAGACCACAAAAATTGACATTCTTCTCCTCTTTAATTTGGATCAAATCTTGAATCTCTAGAAAAAGAGACATCAGATGAGAAAAAAACAACTAAAAAAAATTAAAAGTGTTTGGAAAATAATTATAAGCAAGCTTATGTTTACTGCAATCCTGGCCAGATCAAAATTTTACAATAAGAAGTATTCTAATCTATTAAACTATTAAGCAACTGACTCCCATATGCAATTAATTAATTGGTCCAGAATATGAAAATTACACATCATAAAGTTTTAAAACCACATCATATCAGCTACAATCATATAACTACTAAAATAATTCAGTGCCATCTTGCACAAATCTAAACAAAGTAGCATCAGCTTACCTAAGGAAACATTCTTAGTTATTACAAACCATTAAAGCAGTCTACTTAATTAAAAGCACCATGATAAGTCTTCTAAATGTTACATACCAAGTTTTGAGACAGACGGGGCGAGAGAGAGAGAGAGAGAGAGAGAGAGAGAGAGAGAGAGAGAGAGAGAGAGAGAGAGAGAGAGAGAGCATGAACCTAACCATGGTTGATATTTTTTGGATGTCTATTTTAACTGGGACCATAGAGACCAAAAAAATGTCCCTAGTGTCCAATGTTTACATGAAGGAAGAAAAAATTCTTCCAAGTGCTACTAGAACTCCAAAGCCATCCCATGCTAGAGTCCTAGCACATATGCCTGTTATAGACACTAAAGAAAGACCAATACCAAAACATTGGCCCTCTAGCTGAAATAACTCTCCATAGAGTCTCAGCCACAAGCCTTTAATTACACAATGAAATGAAAAATAAGAGAAAAGAAAATAGAAAGTATTCTTACCTGATCATAGGTAAGGTTGACATGTTATCATGCCCACTAAAGAAGCACATGCATGCAAGCGAAATAATTATGACAAAAGTATGTCATGGAACTAGACTAACATGTTCTAGGGCTAAGCCTTTGCCCTATATTTAATAAAGGAACCATGTATGAATGAGGCCCTAATAATATTGCAAGCATATATAGAAAAATACTTGCTTACCATATATATAAATATTGGCGCCCTATTTTTAATGAAGGAACCATAAAGAGAATTTCTCTCTAGTTTCTCTTTGTTCATGAAACACCCCAACCCTAGGAGTTTGCATGGAAGCTAGCTTTTAGCCCATCCCAGAGCTTGCTAAAGCTTCAAACCATTCCATGAATTTAGGTTTTGATCTTCCCAGTCTTTGTACGAAGGATTGCATGGTCTAATTTTCATGTGAAGAGTAGAAAAAGAAATAGAACAGGAAGAGATGAAGGAGCTAAGAGTACATATATGATGAAAAACTTAACCGTGGTTAGGCCAAAGGTTGCTCACGAATGGCTGCGGTGGGGAATTGTGAAGGGATAAACCTATAGTGGTGATTTGCTGCTGGAGTTGGTAGAGACGGTGTGTTCATGAGGGACATTGTCATGCCTGTGTCAAAGTAAAACACACTGTTAAAGGTATTAGTATCTCATTAAAATTTAAATTACAATTCTTGTATACAGTGAGGCAGTCTAAATAGATAACATAAAGGATAAATGTCGATAGAAATTAGTGAGATGCTTAGCCTAGAACAATGCGAAGAATAATATAAATTTCATAATGTAAATAATAAATTTAGACAATGCATCCATATTGCCTATATGATGTAACGTTTTAAATATAATGATTATTTAGAGTTTGATTGGGGTAGTTTTTTTCACATTTCTATTTTTCGAAAAAGTGCCACAATTAAATTTTATTCAAAAGTTGTCATATTTTTAAATTTCTATGATTAGATGCAAATTTTACAGCCAAATCTACTATTTTTTTGTAATTAGAAGAATGTTGTTGATTAATTTTTCCAAAATAGAAAAAAGCTATCTTTAAAAAAAATCTATTTCTACAAATTTATTCTACAATAATCAAAAACTAAGTTTAATAAACTTTCAAGGTCAAATTATGTTTTTTAAGTCCTTTGGACTCTTTTTATATTAGGAGAATACAAACAAGAACTCATAACATAACCTCTAATCACATGAGAAAAAATTACGTCCAGTTAATCGACAGATGATGGCATGGATCACACCACGCCATGTGTTCGACCGCGTGGTGTGATTCACGCCGTCGTCCGCGCTTCCATAAATAAACAAGTAAAAATTAATATTTATCTTTGCCTCCCATTATTAGATGATTAATTAATATTATCTGTGGAAAAAAATAACCTGCAACTTGTGCCGGGGTACTTGGGGCCAATGAAACAGGGGAGATTCCATAGCTTTGTGCTGCAAATCCTGTAATTCCAGCTGTTGAGCTCATCTCAGAGTATTGGAACAGCTGTGGATACTGTAACCCATAGCCTGTATGTCCATGACCGAACTGAAAATATGGATAGAAAGCATTTGTTCCAGTCACCATTCCATTACCTGTTGCACCACTATTCCCACCATATAATGGATAATGATGAGCAGCCCCACCCCCATAAACATTATAATAAGCCTGCATTATAGTTTTTTTCAACAAAAGTTATAAGAATCAATGAATGAGTTTGCATCAACGATTTGGCTACAGACATAAAGTAAAGTAAGTTAGATATTTATGATCATTTGCACATGGGATAGGAGTACTTATTTGACATATTAGAAATGCATTTTGGCCCAAGCTCACATGCCGGACTGACTGATTAGATATTTAATTATTAAACTTTATGATATTACTTAAAACAATACCATTCGTTAAATTGCACATAAATAATATAGCTAGCTGTACCATGCAGAAGCAATTTGCTTATTTTAAGTAACGTTTTTAATAGCAGGAAAGGACAAATTGGTGACATTTTTTGGGGTAATTGTGAAGTTTGAAAGAGATGAACACAATTTTCAACAATGCGAGATTGATAGAATATTAAGAATTTCTTCATACATGTATAAAGATCTATGAGCCCAAGTACGCAGATTATTAAAAAGAAGATACTCCAGCTAATACAGAATACTTGGGCACTTATAATACCATAGTTTCGTGTTAAATGCCTTAAAATATATGAAATATTTTCTTCCATTTTTTTGGAGAAGTCCAGAAATTCAACACAATTACATGTGGACTTGATTAAAAGTGTGCTCATTTAAAAGAGCGACGCACTAAATATCATCTTTTCTATTTACATCTGTACTGAAATGTAGTTTGGGCATTTAAATCACTTAAATTAATGCGACCGATAATAAGTTGGTTAGGCTTTTTTTTTTTTTGTTAATTTGATAATATTTTAGTTTTTCACCATATTTATAATTTCATTTTTTTATTATGTCTGTCAGCTGCACAAAATTAAAAGGTTCTATTTTATTTTATTTTTTTAATCCAAAAAAAAACAAAAAACAGGACATTAATTGTGTTCTAAAACCTACTTGATCACATGACTTGATTCATGAGTCATTAAAGCGAACATTGTTCAAATACTGTGTCAGTCAAATAATAACTCCAACTGCTGCAGTGTCGTCTTCTAGGTCTATCGAATATGAGTTAATGAATAAATTAAGACTGATGGCTTTCTGCTTCCAAAAGAAAATTTCTTTTTCATTGAAAAGTTCAGCATAACTGGAGCATATCATGACTATTTGCCACGCGTAGTGTATAGAAATAAGTTTGATTGGTAACATTAAAGTTCTGTACTTAATATATTTGGCTCATTATTTTGGCTTGGCATGTATGTACTCTGTTAATATATGAAAAAATATTATCTCAGGAGTACTGATGCATCAGTACTCCAATGAGGGGGTGCCACGTAGGCACCACGGTGGGACTATTGCCTCTCATTGGAGTACTGATGCATCAGTACTCCTGAGGTAATATTTTTTCGTTAATTTATAGCTCAACATTGTTTTTTTTTTAATTCAATTATTATTTAACTCTTGTATTTATAAAGTTAGTGCTGGGTCTATTAAATTTGGATTTTATTGGCACAAACACTGCCGAGCATGTCTATTTTTTGTCTGAGTAACTATTTTGGGTTCAGTTCATGAGTTTGACATTAGTCTATATTTTAAATTCTTTAATTTTTGTTTGCAACATCACCAAAGATAATGGATTTTTATTAAGCAACATGGCATTTAAAACAAAATTAAACTAAATTAGCATATACTATGTGATTAAGATCTTTATATTTTAATCATTTTTCAAGTAATAATACAAGAGAATGTATAATTTTCATTTTAAACATATAAAATTTAATTATTTGTGTCTTCCAATGACTTTTGTGAAATATAAAATTTATAAATTTTTAGAGCTGGTTTTGGCATCATTTTTATTTTCATTTTCATTTTTATTTTTTAAAAGCATTTTTAGTCAATATGGTTTTGATATTTTTATAATTTATTTTATAAAATAAATCATCTTATTTTTACGAATAATTCAAAATATCTAAAAATTTATTTTTGAGGATTTTTAAAAGAATTATCTTTAGCTAATATGTTTTAATTCAAAGCAAAATATAAACAAAACAATAAAAATAAAAATAATCCAAAACTAAGTCAATTTTTATAGGACTCGACCCAAATAAGAAATCGTTTTCTCGAACAAGAGGAACTGATTCAACATATTACAAAAATTGAATCATTATTGGAGCGCATTGTGATTAGAGTATTTATGTAGTTTTACATCAGGACTCCTGATGTAATATTTTTTTCCTTCGGGCAGGCACCAAACAATTCTATGAAGGCAATTGCAATTAAATTAATCAACATTGCAAAAGCATAAGAAGCTTTTATTTAAAATACTTCTTAAATGATTATAACTAGAAATAATATATATATATACATATAAATGCTTATATATATATATATATATATATATATATATACACGACAAATCAAAATGGAAAATTAGTTTTAACAAAAATACAAGGTATTTTTATAATTAAAAAAAAGTCTGAATTACTTTGCACAGCAAATATACTCCAATTCATTTTTCTATCCAAAAATAAAATTATAATAACTTGTATTTCTCATTAATATTTTGTTATGATTATTTGTCATGTACTTCTATCACAAAATAAGATGAGCAACACTCACCTAATAATTCCTCAAATTGTTGAACAAGTTCATCCTATATATGCATATCTTTAGGTTTTTTTTTAATACTATTATTTATTTATTTAAGTTTTGTAGTAGTTTCCTAAAAAGTTGGACAAGAATAGCAAAGTGAAAAGTTCATGATTTTTATGTATTAATCCAGATTATATATGAACATGAAATTAACATAAGATAATGATGAAGTACTGACCGTAGGGCAAGGGTAGTCCGGAGAGTAAGGTGAATAGCTGTCCAAAAAATGAAATGAGACATGTTAATGAAGATTTTATAATGTCTGAAATTTATTGTAAGATAAACACATAGCTCAAAAACCATTTGATGGGTTAAATTAATATTTTCGATCTCTCATATATAGAATTATATTAGTATTAGTAAATCATAGTCATCAAAATTGATCAAGTGAATAAGCAAAATTAGACTATTTATGTTGAAATATTCAGTACGATGTATATTATATTGATGAGTAGAGAGCAATTATTTGGCATCTATAAACATAGTTTCGACACATTAGATATTAATAAAAGGAAAATGTCCCATGAATCAAGATTATATGATACAATGAATCAATTTTCATGTATGTATTTGAAAGAATAAGGCTCTATTTGTCCGCTGCAGCGGCATTTTGAAAATGCTGGCTCACTATTTGAAAATTGCGTTTGAACAGCTTATCCAAAAATGTAGTTGATATTTTTACACTAAACCCATAAAGCGGGTTAAACTCCGCAGTCCATGTTTCTAAATAAGCGGCTTATCTGGATAAGTGTAAGCTATCACAAACACACCCTAAGTAAAGCATTGTGTATCAACTCCAAAAATTGAACGTCAAAATTATGCTTAGCCAAAAAAAATGAATAAATAAATAAATAAAAATCATGTATAATTTTTTTTATCTTTCGTGTGTTGATTTGCTGTACTTAATTTCATGGTTGGCTTTACCCTTTAAACATAAAGCTTTAGGTCAACGCATAATTAATTAAAAAAGTTGGTGCATCAGAGAAAAACCTATATTATATATCAACTTAGTGTTACAAATCAGGTTGGATAAAGCATTGTGGACGGAAGATGAGATTTTGGGACTAGTTGGGAGGAGAGAGAGAGAGGATGATAATGATAAAGTTTAGCATTGAAGCACACTGGGATGCCTCATGCCTTGGCTCGGCAAACACATGGCAGCTTTTTTAAGATAAAGAAAAAGAGAAAGATATGGCTGTTTTGCAAAAGCAGCACTCATCTATTACACATCTCAAATGCATCACAAGGATTATGGTGCATGCATACATGCATCATGTCCATCAAAATATTGATGTAAATTTGAAAGGGATAGGAGAGAGAGAGATGCATGACACATGCACATGCGTACCAGGGCAAAGCATGAACCTTGGAAGAAACATCCAGAGTGTAAAGCTCACCCGTATACATTATAGGGAATGCCCTGATGGATGGCATAATGAGGGAATGTGATTGGAGAAGGAAAAGCTGTTGCCATGCCACCTTGAACACCTCCTTGATATGATTTCATCGCCCTAAAGCTCCTGCTTCCACCTACAAATCAAATTAATTAACCATTACACCATAATTAGTCTATGTTTTCATGTGGCTAAGAATAACTGTAGAAAATTAATTTGTAATATTTACTGTTAGATTTTGTTCTTGAATAAGCAAAAAAAAACTAAGCACTATTTCCGAGGATAACTACCACGCTTAATAATTTGATCCACTTTTCCCAAAAGAAGGTTATTCGTTCAAGAAGGTACAGTTACATTGTTCATGCCCTTTCTGTTTTTGACAACGGATTTTACTTGAAAAATAAATAAATAACTACCATTATAATTGATGGAGAAGTTTTTAAGATAAATGTACGGTAGTTCTGAAAATTTTACATAAACTATGATTAGTGTTCATTATGTTATTTTTTGTGTGAAAATAATATCATTATGTTTGAAAGAAGTATGAAGGAATTTGTAAGTTAAATTTAATATTTGCTACAACCAAAAATATGAACCCTTATTAGGGTTTATGGTCAATTTCACTCATAAAATAGTACACAAAGATTAAGCTCTCAAATAGACTTCAAAATAAATCAAAACGTACAGATCTTCAAAGTCCTTAATTAGTTTTTCTTACTGATGATTTGTGGCCTTATTTTTCAAAGAGGTAACCAGCATCTATCTTCAACTGCAAATCTATCCATTTTAATTACTCATGATTAATGGCTTTAGTATCATGATCAATGGTATATACATACATACATATCCGAACCAACAATATTATATTGTTACTAGTATGTACATTAAGTCCCATAAATTAATAGTGTACAAACATATAGTATCCAAAATAATAACAAAAATACATAAAATAGAAACCAAATTAAGCATACCACATGCATTAATCTCCTAGATCTCAGGAAAATAGATAGCTAGAAAATGATGAAACATGACCACTTTACCATGTTGAGGGGTAGGTGGTCTAGTTCTTTGCACGCCTAAAGAAGCAAGATTACAATTAGCCCTTCTTCCATCTATCACCGGAGAAGGATCAACACAAGCTCTCATGGCAGCCTCAGCCTCACGAAATGTAACCTAACATTCCAAATCGAACAAACAGAAGAACTAGATCTTGATCAATTCCATCCAAGATCATGTCACACGAAACCAACAAATACACATAGAATAAAGAAGAAGAATGAAAGATTAGAAAAAACTCACAAATCCATAGCCCTTGGATCTGCCTGTGTTCTTGTCAGTGATGACCACAGCCTCCAATATATCCCCAAACTGTTCAAAATACTTCTTCATGGTTTCCTTATGAGTCTCCCAAGCCAGCCCTCCCACAAACACTTTGGTATAGGTCGTGTCACCAAACTGACTGGCCAAATTTGGCGTCATCTTCTTCTTCTGCTTCTGCTTCTGCTTCTTTTCCTTTCCTTCTCTTTAATCTCTCTTTTAGCTTCAATTATGTTCCAGCCAGATTCAAATTGGAAAGCCAAGTTGGATTGCTGATCTGTAAGAAAGAAGATATTTTGTGAATGGTTTGAAGCTGGATCGATCAGTTTGGTGATGGCTTGAGGTGAGAGAAAGAGAAAGAGAGAGAGAGAGAGAGAGAGAGGAGAAAAAAGAAGCAAAGGGAAAGGGAACAGGCTGGAGGACATGAGGCATTTTATATTGAAGCCTTTAGCTTAGTTGCCTCTACTGTTCATCATCATAATTGTGTTGTGCTCTGGCATTTCTGAATTAAAATAATTGTAGTAGTTGAGCTTGAATTGACTATTTTGCCCCCCAAACGTGTGTATGTTTGATGTGCCAGAAATTGCCTCTTTTATTTAACTGAGCATTCTACAAGCCTTGTTTTTATTTTATTTCTTGCAATCCTGGAAAAAGGGCATTATTGTCTGCACGAAGTTGCAGTCACTATTAAAATCATTCTCTACAAGGAAGTGCTTCCTTGACCCATTTTTTTCGGGGACTGCAAATTCTTTTCAATGACATTGAGTTTAGTTATTGCTATTTATGTGTATTTTAGGATTATTTTGTAGCCGGTTAATTTTATAGAACTTTCAAAGACCCAAGATTCTATGTCCATCTCAAAGATATAAAATATTTAGTCTGCTAATTTTTTTTTCTAAAATTTAGATCACTTCTACCAAAAATTGATGGGGGTTTTCTTTAATTTGTTTAAAAAAAAGGTCAAAATTCAATATTAATAAAGCAGAATTATATATATAAGTTGAATAAATATGATGTATTATCTTAAAATCACATACAAAATTATTATTTTATAATATCAATATACTTTCATTATCATCACTAAGGCTTCTCTTAAGGTCTCTTGTAATTTTTAAATTTTTTTCAGGTAAAATGAGGTGATGCCGATCTTTCACTAAAACACGGAAGAATTATAAGAAGATCAACTCTCAATAACTTCAAAAAAATATTTGTAAAGTGAGAATAGATCTTTAAAATGCTACATCAACTTCCAATGAGTCTCCTTTAAAATATATTTAATGATGTAATTTATATTTATGTTGCAACATATTTAAATTATTCCAATAGAATTAAATCTAATATCGATATTTAACATCACCTATATGATGATGCCTATTGTAGCTATCAAGCTGAAAATTGAGTTTCGACTTTAAAAATATATGAAATATGCATAGAGACCAATATATAATAGGAGAACACATTAAAGAAAAGAAAGACCGACAAAAATAACAAATATATTTGTATGCATGTATGTGCGCATGCATGTATGCAATAATCTTTTTTCATTTGTTTCTTTCAAATTAAAGATTGAATTCATTTATAACACAATAAGCTTTATGTTCTAATTATAATGGTAAGTGACAAATCTTTTAAAAATTATTCTATAAGACGACAAACTGTCTTGTATGCCCATAATGTCGTATTTAATCTATTAGACCAATCCATTTTACTAGGATTTACACTTTTTTGACCGTAGGCCTGTGCCCTACGCCCACCGATATTCTCCGGGATCGTAGACCTGTGTTCTACTCCCTCCGGGACCGTAGGCCTGTGCCCTACTCCCACCGATATACTCTCTTTCAAATTAAAGATTGAATTCATTTATAACACAATAAGCTTTATGTTCTAATTATAATGGTAAGTGACAAATCTTTTAAAAATTATTCTATAAGACGACAAACTGTCTTGTATGCCCATAATGTCGTATTTAATCTATTAGACCAATCCATTTTACTAGGATTTACACTTTTTTTTCAAAAATCTCTTAATTTCACGACTAAATATTTCTGTGAAACCACTAGTCTAAGGATGATAAACAGTTGTAATTTTATGCATTATATTATATTTTTCCACCAACCTTGCAATTGTTGCATTTCTAAAATGAGATCATGCATCGATAATGATTACTCTAGGCATTCCATATATTGTGAAAATATTTTTAATTAAAAATTTTAAAACACTCAGAGCATCACATCTGATTGTTTCTATCTATTTCAAAACATATTATAAATATTTCTTAATGAAGGTATAAATGATCTCATAAAATCCAATCTCCATGCATCAAAAATTTCAATTTCTAAGTTAAAATTTAGAGGCACATTTCTTCTTAAAATATTACATACTCTTTCACACATATCACATGTTTTTATTATATATTAGCATCTCTAAATAGAGCAAGGCGATAAAATCCTGATTGTAAATTTTATGAACAGTTATTTCATTCCCAAAATGACATTCAAATTCAAAATCATGATATTTTTTGATAATTTCTTGAATTTTTTTTGTAAGACACATCGTCTCATTACTAAATCTTTACATTGTTTATACAAATAAGGGTCATACAAAAAATATGATTTTACATCATGAATAAATTTCTTTTCATGTTATTTTGTTACTCCATATGGTAAAATACTACTAACTATATAATTTACAATATCAGCGTACCAAAATATTTCTCATTCTTTTATAGTATAAAGTTGTTTATTTAAAAAAGTTTCATTAACTTCTTTTTTCAAATCGAGTATTTCTTCTGTTCTAGCCTAGATAAATGATCAACAATTTGATTATCAGTCTTTTTCCTATCGACTATCACGAAATCAAACTCTTGCATCAGAAGTACCACCCATCTAATTAATCTTTGTTTCACATTAAATATTTAATAGTCGAATGGTCAGTATGCACAATACATTTAACTCTAATCAGATATGATCTAAGTTTATCAAAAGCATGTACAATAGTTAATAACTCTCTTTCAGTGGTGGTGTAGTCAATCTGAGCATCATTAAGAGTCTTACTAGCATAATATATAACTTTAAAAATCTTATCATATTTCTACCCTAAAAAAACTCTAATTGCATAATCATTTGCATCACACATTAATTCAAAATATTTCTCCCAATCAGGTGAAATAATTATAGGAGCATAATTATAGGAGCACTTTAAAGTTTCAATGGCTTTAAGGCAATCTTGGTTAAAGTCAAATTTTATATCTTTTTCAAAAAACTTGGTTAAAGAATCTTGGTTAAAGTCAAATTTTATATCTTTTTCAAAAAATTTGCATAATTGTTTAGTAGTTTTTGAAAATTCTTTAATATTTCACCCGTAAAATCCAACATGTCCTAAAAAGCTCCCAACTCTTCTTATTGTAGTAGGTGGAGGTAGGTTTGATATAACCTAAATTTTTGCAGGAACTACTTCCATGACATTTTCTAAAATTTTATGCTCAAGCAAAATTCTTCTTGTAACCATAAATTGACATTTTCCCAGTTCAATACAAGATTAGTCTTTTCACAACGCTTTAGGACTTGTTCTAAATGATTTAGACATATTTCAAATAAAGTTCCAAACACAAACAAATCATTCATAAAAACTTCAATCCCTTTTTCAATTAAATCACTGAAAATGAACATCATATATATTTGAAATGTTGCAGTTGCATTACATAATCCAAAAGACATTTGCCGAAAAGAAAATGTTTCATAAGGACTAGTAAATGTTATTTTATCCTGATCCTTTGGAGCAATAGATATTTTATGATAACCGGTATATCCATCTAGATAACAAAAATATTTGTGCCCAGCTAGCTTATCCAACATCTGATCTAAAAAGAGTAAATGAAAATGATCATTCTTAGTGGCAGAATTTAATTTTCTAAAGTTTATGCAGATTCACCAACCAGTGACTTGTCTTGTTGATATTAATTCATTGTGTTCATTTGTTACTACAGTCACACCTCCTATCTTTGGAATAGAGTGAATTAGACTTACCCAAGCATTATCTGAAATAGAATATATTATTCCAACATCTAACCATTTAAGAATTTCTTTCTTAATAACCTCTTTCATAATTTGATTTAATCTCCTTTGAGGACCAGTTTTTGCTTTATATTGATCTTCCAATAAAATTTTATGCATACAAATTGAAAGCAGATTCCTTTAATATCAACTAATGTCCATCCATAGGCTTTAGTATATCTTTTTAACGTTTCCAATAACTGTTGTTCTTGCTCATTAGTTAATTATGAGGATACTATAACAGATAATGTAGATAAATCTCATAATGTAGAACAGATAATGTAGATAAATCTCCTAAGAATGCATACTTTAAATGTGTAGGAAGTGTTTTCAGTTCTAGTTCAGGAGATTTTTCAAAAGATGAAATCAGATTCTTGTTACTTTCTGCAGGATCTAACATCTCAAATTTTTCCTGAACATAATCTAAATCTTCTTTACTCACTTCCGACGATTCATCTTAAATTTTATCCTCATCTTGATATTCCATATATTCCTTTTCAAATTCACTTTCAAATGTCTTTTTGAAATATTCATGGCTTAAATATTCATTAGAATCCGTTATGAAGCATTCAATCTCTTGCTCTTTTGCAGAATATCTCATTGATTTTGTAATGCTAAATGTAACCTCTTGATCACTAACTCTCATAGTTAGTTCTCCTTTCTGCACATCTATTAAAGCTCTTCCAGTGGAAAGGAATGGTCTTCCAAAAATTATAGGGATTTTTTATCTTCATCCATATCTAATACAATAAAGTCCACAGGAAAGATAAATTTATCAACTTTTAACAACATGTCTTCTATAACTCCTTTAGAATAGATAGTCGAATAATTAGCTAACTGAAGAGTTACAGTAGTATGTGAAATATCTCTTAAACCCAACCTTCTGAAAATTGATAACGACATAAGATTAATACTGGCTCCTAAATCACATAAAGCTTTTTCATAAAATCGTTCTCCAATAGCACAATGAATTGTAAAACTTTCAGGATCTTTAACTTTTTTAGGAAACTTTTTCTGAATTATAGTGCTACACTCTTTATTGATTGCAACAATCTCATTATCTACAAACTTTCTCTTCTTATTAAGTATATCCTTCATGAAGCTTAGCATTTGTTCCAAAGCTTCAACAAATGGAATGTTTATCGTTAATTTCCTCAATATTTCTAAAAATTTTGAAAATTGATTATCTTTGTTTCTCTGCTTCAATCTTTGAGGAAATGGAGGTGGTGGTCTTTCTACAGTGATTTTCATTGGTTTAATGGGATATTATGACTCAAAATGAATATCTTCTCCCGATTTTTTATTTCTAACATTAATATTGCATCAAAATTATGAATACTAGCTATTCTTTTTTGATTTATCCTTTCAGATGACCATTGAAAATTATTAGTAGTAATCTCTTCAATTAATAATCTCTTCAATTACTCTTCAATTAATTAATATGCTTCATCGAATGATTTTGAAATTAAAAATTCACCAGCAACAACGTCAATTATAGATCTATGAGATCCAACCAAACCATTATAAAAAGTTTAAATTATTAACCAATCTGACAACGCATGGTGTAGACACTTTTTAAGGAGATCTTTGAGTTTTTCTCAGACTTCATAAATTGATTCCCCTTCAAACTGTCAAAAAAATGTAAAATCATTTATAAGTTTTGCAATTTTTAAAAGTGGGAAATATTTAGATAAAAATTTTTTTGACAAATCTCCCCAAGTTCTGATAGATCTAGGTGCTAACGAGTTTAACAACATCTTAGCTTTATCCCTTAGTGAGAAAGAAAAAATTATAAGTGTGACAGCATCATTCGACACCATCATATTTAAATGTAGCACACAATTCTAAAAAAACTAGCAAGGTGTAAATTAGGATTTTCAGTTGGTGTTCCCCAAAACTGATTATTTTGAACTATTTGGATAATAGTAGATTTAAGTTCAAATGAATGGACAGCTACAACAGCGTTTTGTATACTCAAATGAATTTCATCTACTTTAGGATTAACATAATCTCTTAAAGATCTCTGATGATGTTCATTCACAGGAGGGATTAGTAAGTAATTTTGATTTGAGCATTAGAGTGATTTGAGCATTTAGTTTTCTCTTGAGAAGGGATTACTAAGTAATTTTGAATTTTTTAAACGTTAGTTCAACTCATTCGCATGACAAGATGGAATAATTTGCTTAACTAATTATACATCTATTGCACAAAATTGCTGAATGAAACTCTGAAATTTATTTTGGAAAAATACAATAAAATAGTCTTACAATTTATTATAATTTGATTAACCAATATTTTCAATTAAGTTTTGAACGTTTAATTGTTTATAAAATGATTGCAGAATAAACTTTTGATAATAATATTTAAAATCAAAAGAGTTGTTTCTTATTATAATATTAATAGACGAATAAAAAAACTGAATCATAAAATAAATTGAAGTAGATTTGTAATGGGGCTGACAATATATATATATATATCTATATATATATATATATATATAATGATTTAATTTTGTAAGCCAAAAGATTTATTATTGTTGGATTCATAAAAATTTAATCTATTTAATCACAAATCTGACGCAAAACATGGATTTGCAGCAACTTGAGGGGGTTTAATTGAATACCAATTATAGTGAAAAAAAAAAAAAGAATTTGTAATCCATTTTGTACTTTGGATTAAATTACAAAATTATACTTAGGAGCTCAAACCCTCCAACAAAACAAATTCCATTCTAGTTCAATTAGAATTCTTGTCAATTCTAATTCAAAATTAGTAAAATTGAAGAGTTGATTTGAGCTCTATTTCCATATGATACTATCCCTCTTATACTATATATATGTTTCTCATACTTTGTATTGATCCAGTCAGTCTCTCCCAAACATATTTTTGTACCTATTACTTTATCTAATCATTAAATCAATACCAAATCATTTACTATGATTTACTATAAATAAAAACATACTTGGATTAAATTTCATCAATTATAGTGATTATTTATTTAATCATCTAATTTGGGGAAAATGACTAAGATGCTTGAATGAAACATAAAAGCAATTTATGTTGAAAGCCTCGACAACATGACATAATCATAGTCATCTTTTCAAGCAATCAAAACCATCTTTTTAAAATTTTTCATGCTTTCAATTATCTTTAAAATTGCTTCGATTTGTATATAGATGTGATTGCATAAAATCAATCTTTAAAATTCTTCACACACACAGATATAGTATGTATGTATGTATGTATGTATGTATGTCATACATACACACATACATACATACATACAGTGAGAGAGAGAGAGAGAGATGCCATGATACAATTCAAAATTTGGAACATTCCCAAAAATAAATTATAAAATTCATTTACTATTATTTCAGCATATTGAGAATGTTGTATATAATAAGTGTGATCAAAGAACAAAATGATCTTTGGAATATTTATAGGAACATTTTAATTCCAAATTATTTAATATCGCCAATTTAAATATTTAAATCCTCAAATTTAATTCAAGGTAATCAATTAAATCATCAAATATAATTAAAAAATGAAAGAGACTATTTGAATAATACTTAAGTTGTTTGAACATTAAATTGAAAATATTTATAATTCAATACTAAAGTAACCTTCTAGGATTTTGGCATTCATAGTATCACACACTCACATTTCGACTCTAGCTCTGCTTTGAGCTCTCGGATCTTCTCATCAGATATTTCCATAGCCTTTTGTAATTCTTGTATTGAAGTTTTTCCATCCTCTTCTAATTTCAGTCTTGAAGCTTTCTCTTGCCTCAAATTCGTCTCCAACTTTTGTATTTTTTCATACAAATCGCGATGTACCTGCAAAGTCACAAAAAAGTATATAATAGTAAACTTTCAATGGTAAATGCTCACAATTGTCATTATATTATATTGCTTAAGTGTATTCATTTTCTTCTTATTATTTTCATGTATTCAATTTAGCCTCTTAACTGAGCATATCTAAATCAATTTAGTCCTCACAATTAATTTTTTGGTCAAAATTTAATGTAGAGAAGCATTTCATAAGAATATTTTAAATTTATTAAAGACAATCCCATTAGTTTGATTTAAGATATATCTTAAAAAGTCAAAATTTTTCTACTAAAATCTTGCCTCCACTAATTTCCATCTAAAGAAACAAAAAATTTAATCGCATAACCAAATTTGTCAAGATTTAGTGAGTCGATGCACTCTAAAATCACTGAGATTAAAATAAACAAAAAAAAAAAAACATATAAATCATTTTGATTTTTTGCTTTCATTTCAGACATGCAGAAAAGAAACACACAGTGATATGTGATATTTTTTATAAAGAAAAGTAAATACCACTTCTGATGTGCCTATGAACTCATCATCAAATGATTTATCAAGTTTTTCCTTCTGTTTAGATAAATGCTTCGTCGAGCATTCTGGATTATCTTTGTTCTCTTTTTGCTTTTGTTGTCGGCACAATGCTCCTTCCTATATAAATATGAGAGAAAATGTCATTGATCAACTTAAATGTCTGAATGATGGATTTGTCCAAGATGTACCTTAGCTTCTGCAAACATTTGTCTTGTGAAAAGTTTTCCTCCATTGTTCGCAACAATAAAGTCGTTAAGAGAGATCAACCGTTTCACTTGCCTCTCTCTTTTAACCTCATCCTTGGTGATGTTATCAAAAATAACAACTCTCCTATTACATAGGAGAATTAAGTTCTACAAAATTATTATCAAGACAAAAAAGTTAGATAACTTATGAAATCAACCAAAAATATGTTTTTGAAGTTCTAGCAAAGAATGTTAATCACTAGTAGCTTCATAATGTGTACATTCACTGATATTGGACAAGCTAAAGGACAAAACAGAGGTAAAATGTTATAGATTAGAAGCAAAACATAAAATAAGATATAACCTTGAAACACCACTCGGACTGACCACTCCATGATACTTAAATCAACAATCAATATTACACAAAAGAATGCCTTAGCAATCAATTTATGTCTCCGCCCGTTCTCTATTACAACAAACATATTTATAACAGACCAGCCAAAAATTTGGCCGAAATATAAGTCCATAAATAAGGCCACCCATTTAAACTAATTACAAGAACATCACAAACACATTTAGTATTTATTATTCTGCTCCAACTCAGCCTTAGATTTTACCACTCCACATGTAAAGGAATCATATTTGTTCTTTTTCTAGCATGATGCCACACATAGAGATTAAAATTCTAAACTCATTGAAATATGTATCAAAAAAGAAGAAATGCTGAAAAAATATCAGGTAATTTTTATTCAACTTGTGTTTTTAACTGTTTCAGGTTAGCTTTACACACAAGAACATCAGCACTATATCACATCAATTAAAGACCACAAGACTAAGTAAAGGAGAACATATTATATAATTTAAATATAATTGCACGTATAAGTCATAGGCAAAAAAGAAAACATTGCAACAAATATGTAACTAATTAAGAAACAAAATACTTGAAAACTCAAGGATCAAACATTAAAAAAAGGAAAAAAATTTACATAAACAAACCTTTAGTGGCTCTGGACAATCTTTAATCCACTCACTGAAAGTTATCTTCTTCTTTTCAAGTACATCCCCACCAACAAGAACTACAATCAAGTATTCAACAATCTTATCACCAAAGAAGATTTTTAAATACCGGATAGCATTCTCTTCCTCCTTTGTAAAGCGGGCACACATAGTGAATACCATGAGTACATCATGGAGACCATCCTTGGCCAGATCTATGCACTTCTCTATCTCTCTACCAACGAACTCAGGACTAGCTGAAAAATTAACTAATCCTAAAAAGGAAAAAAAATAAGAGCTCAGCCTACTAGAGAGCACGAAAAGAGGAAAATTTGAACTCAAATGCAATGTTATAATTAGAAGCAAAACTGTAAAGTAGCAATAAGGATGAAATGCAATTAAGAAAAGCAAAATGCTCTGTATGGCCAATACCAGATGACTAAACCCAACTTAATATTCACACAAGATTCACTTGAGATCAGATTCAAATGGATCAGCCCAAAGATCAGCTTAACCAACTTAGTGGATTGACTACACAACAAAGCGCATTAGCCAATTCTTTAGTTTATCAGTCCTACCACGGTTACTCATCAACTCAGCGGCCCGACTACAATTGTTGGACAAGTCAAAAGACCAGACATGACTATTCATCAAATCTGCAAAAGTTGAAAATATTTCATTCAATTGGATAAGGGTTTCTAAGCTTGACATCCTATCAGGCCACATGACACATGACATTTGTTGCATTTGTTATTTCTATCATATGTCTTATGCAAAATTAGAAGTGTCAACCAAAAACTACAATGGAAGGTCAAGGTTAAGCTCAAATTTTGCAATCTTAGATATTTAATCCAAGACACACTAGCATCCTTAAACTACTTTTCGTCTATCCCAAAGTTTCTCTCTCTACATCTCTCTTTTATTCTGTCTATTCCACTCTTTTCCCTATTTGAGGTATTGTTTTCTAGGTGATTTGAATTCACAGATATTCTAGGATCCAACATGCCCCTTGTTTCTTAAACATGTCATAGGTTCATATTGATGCCTTCCCATTGACAGTTAGGTTGATATTTAGGGAATAAAAATACCCTTTCCCTAAATTGACATTTCACATTTCCATCTCAACGAAAGACATCCCATAACTTGCAAATTCAAAGTGGTTGTTAGCATCCTAAAGCTAATGGGCACTGTTTTGTTGGCGAATCAAGATGTGTCAGTGAATCAAGAACATCTCAGGCATTTAAAGCTGTTGCTAAGGGATAAAGTTCTTGAAAAGGGCAAGATTTACATTAGTATTAGAAATTAGGCACTTTTTTAGGTTTAATTAAATAAATAAATAAAACTATTTGCAACTTCTCAGTATCAATTGAGGTGGTGTTGCTTCCTCCTAATATATATGAAGAGGGGTTCAACGCCTACACTCATTTAGTTGTTTTATTTATTTATTTATTTTATAACTTAACGAGCAATGTAGAAATTGAGTCAAGAAATACCATTTTTTTTCCATTTTCTAATCCATAAAAAATGAGCATATTAGCGTGGTAAGACTTTATATTACCTTTTAATCTAAAGAAAAGGTAGAAAAAATCACTAGCCCTAATTAAAGAAATTTTAACTACTCGGTTATTCATTAGAATGTGCCCCTCCATGTAAGCCAAAATAAAAAAAAAATCCTTAAATTTTGTTTGACGCTTATATCACTTCTACAAGAGCTAATGATAAATGAAAACAGTATTCATATAGTAAAAACTTATTTAGAATTCGAATTAGATTAAAAATAATTGGTCACCCGCCAAGCACAATATCTATTACTAGAATAAACATACAAAAACATCAACTTATTCCCATAAACTTTAGAAACTATCAGCCCATACTATCAAAACCCTAAACACAAAGGCTGTTATTTTTCAAAAAACAATAATAATGAAATAAAGACAAAGGCCGTAGCTGATTTTGGATGTTAAAATCAGCTGGGAGATGCTTGCCTACAAAGCTTATCAAGCCCATCCTCTCCCTTCCCAACCCATTTTGGGAAATTAGAAGTTGATCATCTCAACCCGGTACATTTATGGTTTTCATTCATCAACGCAGCTCGAACTAACCACATTAGTAAATAAAAGTAGCAGCAACGAATAAAGAACTAAAAAAAATACATTCAAATACACTTGAGGCATCTTTGGGATCTTTTGTTTTTTAAACATATTTTTAGCGTGTTTTTTATGAATTTTTATTTTTTTTATTTTTAAAACAATTGAATGTCTTTGAAAACACTCAAAACAACTTTTAGATTAAAAATTATTTTGAGTGTTTTTAAAAGCAATCATAATTAACTCAAAAAATTGAACATATTATCTTTCAAATCAAAACATAAACTTAATAAAATAAAATAATAAATAAATGTGATCCCAAATGGCCCCTTAGGGACAAAAAGTAATCTCTTGATATAAAAGAAAAAATTGCAAAGGCGGTAAATTCATAAACTGTCTCGTAAAATATTGTTTTACATTAAGTTCAGTCTTTCAAAAAGTCTTATTAGATAACTAAATATGCAAACACACACTACAATCCAGAGGCAATCCATACATATCTAAAGCAATAAAGCTTGATTTTCCATCGAAAAAATAAATGAAATGCAAAATACCATTTACAAAATACTCTTGAAGTGTAAAGACATGTAGTGAAACTATACAAACTTTTGTTGCTTCCAAAATACAACATTCAACGATAAGACATAGACAACAATTTTAAGAATATTTCCTCTTACAAGAAATGAATAACTAATATAGTGATAAATAAAAAGAATGATTAGTGTTTTTATGATGTAAAAACCTCAAAAAGGTTGCCTTTACGGTAACTAATCAGAATGCAAATCTTGACATCGTACACAAGGTTACCAAAAATTCATCTTTTTCAACTATCTAATACACTTATATTAGAGAAAATGATCAAATTGGTCCTCAACTATTTATGAGAGACTATTTTAATCTCAAACTATATAAAAAGACCAAATTTAAACTCATAATGATAAAGAAGACCCTAAAACTCTAGTTGATTTAGTAAATGTTTTAAGAAATTGAAATTTAATAGTAAGTGTTTTAAGAAAATGTATTTTCTTATTGATTTTTTTATTAAATAGAATTCTCTATTTATATTATTTTCTCATGTATAGAAACCAACTAACATAAAACAGAAATGGATTAAAACCATGCAAATTGTGATGCAAGTTATTTATTGTAATAAATAATTTTATTTTACATTTTTGTTATTTTAATTCTATTGTAACAAAAATTGAACTTAATGTATTTTATTATAATACAATTACAATAAAAAATATCAAATAAAATTAACTATTAAAATAACTCGCTCGACAACCAAGATAATCTCAATATACTTTTGTTGTATGTGAAGTTAACTATAGTATACTATAAATAAGGTAGCTAAAGAATTATATTTATGAAGAAAATGAAAAAGAAAATAGTCCTAAATTATCATATTTTTAACACCACTAACTTCATTTGTCGTTCGTCTTCATAGCATAATTATGTTAAACACTGTTTAAAAAAACTACAAGTTAAATATGACATTTTACATAGTTTGAGACTAAAATCACCGCTCACAAATAGTCAGGAGATCATTTTAGTTATTTTCTTTTTTTATAGAGTAAAAGTGAAGCTTAAATTCTAAATTTGTCAAAACTTTTTCGATACTGAACCCCCACGAATTGGCACTGAGCCTCTACGAATTGACCTATAAAACCTATTTGGCTCTCTAACTTTTGTACCATTTGGCAATCTAGCTTTATTCCACGTGGCAATCTCATTTGACATTGTGCCAAAAAATTAAATGTGGGATTTGAAACATAAGACTTTTGAATGAAAATATCTATCACCAACAAAACTCTTACAACATGCTGCTAACGTTTTAGCATTTACTAACAACTCGAGTTGAATTTAAGGTCGAAAATTTATATCACACCTGTTATAGCATTGGAGAATCTTACTAAAATTAATCTAAAGCAAAGAATCTAACAGCCTTCTAACTATGTAGTTTTATAAATTTTATAGCATCAGACAAAGAATATAGTTACCAGGAGTGTCAATAACATGAACATGACGCCCGTCCTTCAAAATAGTGCTTTTCATTTTAGAAGCATGTGTTATCATATGCACACCATCATCAGAAATGAAGGCTCGTTTTCCAAGAATGCTGTTTGCTACTGAACTCTTGCCATTACCCAATTTCCCCACAACAGCAAGAAAAACGTCATTAAAAAAAATGGGAGCTCCCTCCCAATTCTCCGGTAGATTAATCAAATCATCCTCCATTGACAGATATGATGAAATAATCTACAAATAAAAATAAAAATAAAAAATAAAAAATTACAAATGAAATAATGATTGTAGAGAGAAAAGGTTAGCAAAGTTGTGTTTGTGGGAAGGGGAGAAAGATAAGCTTCCGTTTTTAGAAACGTACATTGAAAATGGGTATAGTGGAAAAAAAATCCAAATTGTCAAAAAGTAATTCAGAATGAAGTAAAGTTAACAGATTTTAAAATTAACATTGGCCATAATGTATTTTTCACAAAACAAGAAGTTTTTCTCTCATTTGCAACACTATGCTTTTAAACATCCTGTACATAGAAAGAATCACCTTTCAGGTTTAGCAAAATCAATTGAAAACATCTAAATTCTGAGAACTTCATTAATGTTATTTTTGATACAATGGATAGTACCAGAGGTTGAAGTGTTCAGTATGGAAGCATGTGGTATGGAACTTAGTTCTCTGATTCAAGTTATAATTTATCACGACAATAAACAAAATGTTTCCCAATGGAAACCCAAATAATGCAAAATGTGCATCAGTAACCTATGTCCCTGTAGCCCAACCTAAGCCAAATAAGGCAAAAAACAAACAAAAGAACTTATATGCAGATTCCCTTCTGTTCATTCATGCAGCTTAAAGTGATGTAACAGTCAACATATTTGAAGTTCTTCATGGTTTCATTTAGTTACCTGAACGAAAAACTTGTTATATATAGATGCAAAGTGAAAACATAAATATAAATTACAAAAATATTTCCTTAAAATGAGCATATAAATCTACTCATACTTAAAACATTCAACTGTAGCCCTTTACATTTTGCGGCTAATATCTAACACCCTAGCAAAACCTAACCAAATTTTCACTATATTCAAGGCTAAAATGCATTAATTTGCATTGAAACATAGAGAAACAATCAAAAAAATCTAAATTTTAACAATAATCAGTAAAAGAGCCATACAGAAGCAATTGCAATTTGTAATTTTAAAAAAAAAAAAAAAATCAAACTGATTCAAGTTGGCGATCTGGCACAAAATGTATTGGGGGCTAAAGCAAGATGATGGGTACTGCTAACCTCCGCTAGTTTTCTTCCGGCTGAAGAATGGAGAACTTAGGTAACTCGGCAGAGTCGTGCCGAAGCATAAATAGAACGCACAGCCAATGTCAGGTGCTGAGGTGGGCGTGGTCCTCAATATTCCAAAACTAGACATGCCACCAATGGTCAGGCTCGTATATAGCAGGCTTTCCATCCCGGTCGATTCATACACAGATGAATTGCAGCTTGCATTCATTCAATGACTCGAAACTTTATATTTTACAGTTCACATCCTAAATTATAATATTATGAAACGCGCACCTCCGTTAACGCCTCCATCTCCGATCAAGTTTTTTTTCCCTCAAACAGCCGGCGATCTCTGATCGGCGCCTGCGACCGCTGCTCACTGGAGACACCCGGATATGGTCGCTGCCAAACGCTGCGGAATCTTGGTATGACCGCGACATTCTTTTTCTTTTGGCCGACCTGCGCATCACCTTAGCAGAGCAAACTGCAATGGACGGGCTGAAACCCTATATCCACTCAATCGATATTAATTAATTGCATCTCCAGGATGGAGACCTTAACGGAGGTGTTAACGGTGGTGTGGATTTTGAAATATTATAATTTGAGATGTGCAATACATAAACCCTAAACTTTTTAAGTACAAATTACTTTTCCAGTGAAAATTTCTAATTTTAGTTTATTTTTCTATATACGTTTTCAGCCTCTTCTCATTCGAAAAATATTACATCAGTATTATGCACGTAGAGTAACGTGCGTACCCAATTAAATCACGTCACGACACCCCGCGCGACAGAGAAAAAAAATGGCGCAGTAACACGGGGAATATTCCCCCGTGTTATTCATGTATTATTGTGTGTTATTCATGTGTTATTGTGTTCTGGAAATATTATTCATTGTATTATAATAACACAATAACACAGGAATAACACATGAATAACACATGAATAACATGGGGAGAATATTCCCTCATGTTGCCTCGTCGTTTTTCTCTGTCGGGAATATTCCCCCGTGTTATTCTGGTGGCGTGTTATTCAGGTGGTTATTCAGGTGTTATTGTGTGTTATTCATGTGTTATTGTGTCTGAGAATATTCTTGATGTTATAATAACACGATAACACATCAATAACACATGAATAACACACAATAACACATGAATAACACACAATAACACATGAATAACACATGAGGGAATATTCTCCCGTTACTGCGCCGTTTTTTTTGCTTGTCGCGCGGGTGTTGTGACGTGATTTCATTGACTACACACGTTACTTCTACGTGCATAATACTGATATAATATTTTTTTCCTTCTCCTTTTCCAATTTCAACAGTTTTTTCCTTAATTCTATAATTCAAATCCATTGCTAGTCTTGCTTCGGCTCATTGTCGCTTTCTCTCATTATTTGCTAAAAGCTTTTAAGGTAAACTACATATATACCACACAACTCTTCATGTATCTACATATCTAACACCTAAAATTTGAAATCTACATATCATGAATCTATGCATGTAAAAAAGGGTGTAAATGAGCTCAGCATGAGCAAACTTAAAGCATATTCATGATTGATTCCCTGATTTTTTTTTTGGTTCTAAATGTGTTTGTATTTAAAATAGTTCGTAAATCGCCCGGTTCATAATCGGCTTAATTCAGATTCAAATTTGTTCAAACTAGCTCGTGCTCAGCTCAGTTTTGAGCTACACTCAAGCTTATATATTATAATCTTTCCAATAATTTGACTAAAAAAATATTAATAGGATTCCTATTAGGAATTATTTATCTTTTAGGTGATGTTGTTTAGGGATTTTTACATGCATACCACTAGGGGTGTAAACGAACCGAACACGAACGAACAAAGCTTGTGTTCGTGTTCGGTTCGTTTAAAATTTAGTTTGTTTGAAATAAGCTCGTGTTCGTTTCTTAACGAACGAGCCGAACAAGAACCGAACACGAGCTGTTCGCGAACGACGAGCCCATTTGACATCCCTAATATTAATATATAAAAATAATATTATATATTAATTATATAACTTATATTATATAAATATACAATATCTTATATATTATAATTTATAAAATTTAATGTTTTAAAATATAATAAATTTTTTATATATAATTATTTTATATTATTTTATATTTCAAACAATAACGATTCGAACACGAACGAACGCATCACTGTTCGTGTTTGGTTCGTTTAACTAACCGAACGAAAAAAATTTGTTTGTGTTTGTCTCGTTTACTTATCGAACGAATCGAACACGAACTCATTGACGAACCGAACACGAACTGTTCGCGAACAACGAGCTTTTTTGACAGCCCTACATACAACCCAATTCTTCTTTATTTACATATCAAACACCTAAGCTTATACTACACCACCTAAGCTTATAAAATTGGATAAAACTTAATATAAAAAATATAAATAAATATTATTATATAATAAAATGAGCACGAACCAACAAACTTTGTTGGTGTTCGCGTCGTTTATAAATCGAGAAAAAAAAAATAGTTCATGTTTGGCTTGCTTGCTTAACAAATGAATCGAGCATGAGTTATTTAACGAGCCTAACATAACCTGTTCGCAAATAACCACCTTTTTAATGGGCCAAAATGTAAAGATCTATTTTGCATGAATCCAAACAATTTTTTGGTATATCACAAACAATTTTTTATCATTCCGCATGAATCCAAAGATACGACACAAATATCAAAGCATTTTTTAGTAAAAACATTCCAACTCAAATTATAAATAATTCAGAAATCCAATTTTAGCAAATTTAAAGTAAAACTTACCAGCTCAGCGAGACAAATTCAATGACACCAAATTTGACTCAATCCAAGTCAAATGAAGCCTGAATGAGACATTAAACCATTTTCTGAAGCTTTGAATGACTAATGGGAATATCAGATGGATTTCAAGTCCGATAAGTAATAAAATCGAGCATCTTAATGAGATTAATCTAATAAGTCCAATGTCACTCAATTTGACATCATAAAGGCACCAAAATATATCTGAAAAAATGTGTTTGATTAAGAGAATCTCTCTAGGTCATCCGATTGAGTACTCTAAATATCTTTCTTATTTATGGGTGATGAAGAGGGAGAGTTGGACTAGAAGAAGAATAGAAGGGGCCACATTCCAGAGATGTTCTAGACTGAAGAACCCGTGATCATGTTCTGTCTTCAAAGTTGCTGGCCACTGTCGATCAACGCTCGTCTACCACCGTCATCCACTTGCAGCCGGCTATCGTCGACTATGGTCAGCCGCCTCTCGCTCGTTGCCATTGGTGGACTTTATGAAGTAGCAATGTACGTTGCACGAACACCTTGCAGAGTAACAACATACATTGCAGAATAACGAAACACTCTATGGAGTGTCACCACACATTATCACGGGCTTTCAACTATACTGTTCAAGATCATAAACAAAAAAAAAATATTTAATAGCTGTGAAAAGAAGTTAGCTAAATTTTTTTTTTATCACTGCATTTCTAACTCTCACGTTCCTAAGTCTTAATCCTAACTTTGATGTCCTAACTACTTCTTCACATGCCATTTCAAAGCATTCTCCAATCAAGTAAATCCTTCATATGCAAATTAATTTGGTTTTGAGATGAAAGGCAGTGGGAGATTGAATCAATCCAGGGATATGTATGTAAATGCCCCAAAAAAAAAAGAAATTTATGTAAATGCCCCAAAAAAAAAAGAAATTTTCATGTTTTTAGAGATACTACAAAAGGAAAAGATGAACATTTTCCCACAAGGAGAAAAATCACACGTGGCAAAAACGTGGCAAAAACTATCTAAAATTATAAAAAATTCTGCAAATTGCTATGAAAGGTAGAACATAATTCACATAATAAATTTCATCTGTTGCTTATTATGATATTCAATATCATTGTAGGCTCTTTAGTTGGCCTTAAGAGAATGATGCCTGAGTTTCTTTTCTTTAGCAATTTAGTATTAGCTCAATGGTCCTTTGTTAAAGCTACACATGAGTTGGGAACTTAGGACCACCACTATTATTAGTTTGTTTTTCTTACATATTTATAAATACCATATTTAATTAATATTTGTACTCATTATTTCATTCGGTTCAATTCTTGTTGAACCATTGAACTTTGAACATTTTCTTTTTTTGGTTTGAGGCCTAATCCAATTTTCATATATTTTACACTTTGCATTACATAGTAGATTTGTATACCGACGAATTGCAGTCGTACATTGATTCTTGAGAATGAAATGAATTTTTTTTTTGTTTTTTAAGATGAGTAATTAACATACAGTTTAAACTTTAGATTTTTAAAAGATGCATTTAAATATGTACCACCCACTTCTTATGTATTTATATAATGTTTTAAGAAGCGGAATAGACCAGCCTATTGAACTGTGAACCGGGTCGAGGGTGAGTTCCGGTTCAGATAAAACCGTATTTGTTGAACTCATTTTTATGAGTTATGTTTTTCTTCTCTAGAATGTAGGATCTAGTCTTATAATTTTTCTTATAACTTTCCTGGAGGACTAATGTCGGGACCCAATCCACTTAGAAATTGAAACCACCTCTTGACTCTTTCTAGTCTCATATATATAGTTTTAAATCTTCAACACTTGGTTGAGTTGATTGAAATCAACATATTGAAACTTAATTAGAGTTTCTATAGGCTTGAAGAGCCTCAGGAAGACACTTCTGGATTTAAGGTTTTAAGCTTGAAATACTGCACTTACTCACCTCACAACTCACTTCACTCTCTCTCACTCTCACAATTCACCTCACTTTCGCACTCACACACGTACACTCTCATTTAATAAACATTTTTAGAAAACATTTTTGTTTGCACTTACACACTCACCCCTCCACACGATGAGATTTTTCGAATGATTACCCAAAATTCAAATAAAAAATGTATTGATTATCTCACCCAAAATATTATTTTGAATTATCCTGCCAAGTTTTCAAAATAAAATCTAAATTTAAATCCATTTGATAAGACAAATCTAAACCATACCATGAGCTAAAATTGATCCCATTTTTAGCCAATTTGGAGCCACCTTGAAGCCACTCATTCCAACCCAACTTGGCTCACCTTTGAATTCAACTCCTTGCTCAATTCGATGGAGCCAAGACCAACCACACTAAGGTCAGTGTTTGTAAACCATAGCCAACCTATGTGCACCTCCATGAACCTTTTCTAGAAACTTGACGGCTTCTCCTTTATGGCTCTTCTTTAAGTCATCCTAATTGATTTCCTACAGCTAGAGGAAGTGACTACATGCGTTAGCTCATAGCTATGACTATCAAGTCAAGTTACCCAAAAACCCAAAATCCAACATGAACCCGTAAATTGAAGCTTCACCCACTTGGCTCAACCTCATTGGACTATTGATCTCATTTTTGGTGAGGTGATGTCTTTCTCATAGAGCTTAGGATCTAGTCATATGACTTTCCTATTTACTGCCTGATACGCCTAAAAATTATCTAATTTTTTATATACATTTCATGCTTATTTTTAATGTTATTGCACTT